GATAAAAAAAATTTTGTACACCGTACAAAAATAGAGGTATATATATAAAGTACTTTTAAACTTTACATTTGTAAAATATAACTGTATTAACATATGTTAATGTGTTAGTACATATCTCTATCTCTATAACACAATCTGTTATTTTCACATATTTTTTCGTCACATTTACATGACGGATCACAGCTGTTGGAATTCTTCACGCAACCACACATTCGTGAGGAGCAATTCCCTTTACAGCTACAACCAGTGACTTTCCAATTTTGAACTGGCCTTGTCTGTGAAATAATCAGTTCTTAATATTATTAAAAAACTCTTATTATTCCATAATAAAATTTGTTCATAAATTTAGAATTATAAGCAAATATTTTAAAAATTTAAAGAAACTATTTACAGATATGACTAGAAGACTGCGTTTGTTTTGGCGCTTTTAGCGCTGAAAGCATCGTTCTATCTTCATTTGATATTCGATGTGCAACGAAGATAAAATGATGCTTACAGCGCTGAAAGCGTCAAGACGAACCCAGCCTAGTTGCAACACAATTTATTCTTCTCTTGATCATATTCTGGTTTCTGTAAAATATCAATTAATTTATTTTCAGGTTACTATACATAAAAACATCATACATTCAAATGATAATATTACCTGATTTTGACACATTTCGTTGTCACATTTACATGACAGACCACATTTGTTGCTGTTCTTCACGCAACTACAAATCTGTGAGGAGCAACTCCGCACAGATTTACAGCTACAACCAGACTTTCCAAATATAGCTGATGTTGCTTTTGGAATGCGGTGAAGGGGCTTCTGACCGTATACAACATGGTCAGGTTTCTTAGATCCTTCCACGTGTTTTTTTGTCAGATTAATTACTTGCTTCTCCAACTTGGCAACTTTATTTTTAAGACTATCAACGTTTTCGGTCTGCTTACCAATGGTTTTTGAGCCGCTAGAAAGTTAGATTTCTCATGTTATAATCATTATCACACAACGGAGAATAATATAAAGAATATATGTAGATATTGAGTATAAGCCCCCCCTCTCTGCCGATTTCTTTGTAATTTTCAAATTATGTATTATTATGTATTTTAAATTGTAAAAAAGATTCTAAAAAGGAAAATCATCACTTATGATCCATTTATTTTTAATTAATACTTAAAAATATCACTATCACTCAACTTCAAAAGCGAAATATATATATATCTACATTAATTATAATTTATTTTATAATTTTATTTATAATATAAATTTTAAAAAATTAATATAAAAAAAATAATTAATATACAGTCTCTACACTACCAATCGAGAACGGAACTCATTCCTGCTCAGTGCTCCCTATACATATATCAACATAATTATTGTAATACAAC